GAACGAAGAGCGGTTCTCTCGGCACTGTGGAGACGACGCTGCACTTACGAGATGGAAGGGGCGAGACTAGAAGGCCCTGATTTCACAGAAAGCGTGCAACAGCAGATCCAAATAGAAATAACATCTAAATGGGACGTGGTCAAAACTGAGATCCGATCTCTGCATACACAAAAAGACATTAAACAAAGAATTCAGGAATTCTGTTCAAGCTGGCTTGGAGGGTCAAACGGAGGAAGAATAGGGAAGGTGGAATGGAAAGGGGAGCCACAGGAGATCGGGGAGGGACGAGAGGGAGCAGTAATAGAGAGGGACTACCGTCTGATATTCCACGAATGGGCCAAAATAGACACAGCTATACCGTTGAAGCCCCCTGAAGAATTCCCCGTCCTCTTAAGAGAGAGAGAGAGAGAGAGAGAGAGAGATCATCGTATCGTGCTTAGAAATACGATCAGTCACGCAAAAGGTCAACAGAGATCATTATCCTACTCAGTCAATTCCCTAGTACCAGCCCTTAACTGCTTTATCTGGCGCCCTTCTTTTTGTTTTGGGGGTGAAGAGGTACAAATCTGGGTCGCAGGGCAATCAATGCTGGCAGGCCCCACAGTTACTGTTCTCACTGTTCTCAGTCATTCTCATTTTCTGTAATTTGGGACGCTGGACCCGTTTTCCAGCAAGCAGGTGATGCTCCCCACCAATAGACGGAGCCTCTCCCCAGGTGTTAGTGATGTCTGCTCCTATCAGCACCACTAACACCGGTGGAGGAATTTTTTGAATAAAAAAAATAAAATTAAAAAAAATCTAACAGGAAATTCGTACCACGATCTACTTAACCAGCCTACCTCGGCTTCCACAGTCATTGTACAAACGAGAGCTACTCTTCTAGAGGACTCGTGAATATTGTACGAGGGGTTGGAATGGGGCTTGGGAATACGATCTCGGAACTGGTCCTGGGACTTGGGACTGAGAACTGGAACTTGGTACTGGGACCTGGGACTTGAGACTCTCTGAATCCTTGCAAAAAAAGAGGGGAAAGAAAAGGAGAGGGGAAAAACTAGAAAAAAAAAAAACAGGGGACCCATCAGCCTGCCTTCCTCAGTACTGGGACCTGGGACGCGAGACTCTGTGAATCCTTTCAAAAAAAAAGGGGAAAAGGAAACAGGAGAGGGGGGGGAATAGAAAACACAAGGGGCTCCCTGAAAATACAAAAAGACCCATCAGCCTGCCTTCCTCGGTACTGGGACCTGGGACTGGAGACTCTGTGCATCTTTTCAAGAAAAAAAGGGGGAAAAAGGAAAAAGGAGAGGCGTAAAAATAGAAAAGAAACAAGGGGCTCCCTGAAACACAAGGAAACCCATCAGCGTGCCTTCCTTCGTCCGAGTATATCGACCCAACCAACGGGAAAAACAAAAACTATAGTGAATGCATCTTTCCACGCCTTAGCAGAAGATACATCACTGTTACACCGCGTTCGACATTCGCATAGAGCATGCTTGGCAAAGGTCTTATGAAGTGGGGGACGGACAGCCTTCTGGATGGTAGTGTCTAAAGCCAACACTCTCCCACACACCACACGCAACCCACTCACACGCGCACTCACACCCATGTTGGCTGCAATGAACAGGGAACCGCCGTTGCTTGCAATCCTGGAAAAATGTGGAATTAAATTAAATTCATACAAAAAAAAAAAAGAGGAAAAGGAGAAAAAAAAGAAGGAAGAAAAATAGAGGAAAAGAAGAAAAAAAAGAACGGAAAAAAAAAGAAGAAGAAAAGAGAAAAATTGCTTAGAGCAACGCCCTGACATATAAAAAAAAACAAGCCACCGTAGTGAACAAAAAAAAAAAAAAAAAGACAGGCCATGGAGGACGTTCCAAAAAGGCGGGAACGAAAGGAGGGTGGAAAGAAAAAAGGAAAAGAAGGAAATGAAAAAAAAGAAAAAAAGAAAGAAATGGAAATCCGGAGGACGAGGAGAGAACCGGGATGGCAGGATCTTTTTGGCTATCTGTTCCAGCACGCTATCTCATGATTCCTTATGGTCCTTTTTCAAATGTAAGGGACGCTGGACCCGGTTTCCAGCAGGTGCTGCTCCCCACCAATAGATGGAGCCTCGGGATGGCAGGATCTTTTTGGCTCTGTTCGGGCAGAGCATGTCTACTAATAGACTGTGCTTTGTTGATGGGCCTCGCTCAACTACAATGACTGCACAGCATACTACATGTATCCGGACTCGTTAAAGGTCGGGTACGTTCAAAATGTTCAATCTGGTCTACTGTCCACTTCAAAGACTTTTCTGAATGTTCAGTTCAGTATCAGAGCGAGACACAAAGGCAAGGCAGAGGCCGTAAGGCCATCCAAACGTCCAAGAAGGTGGTGCCACAGAGCTGGAAAAGGAGAGGCTGAGAACCGAAAGCAAGGGGGCGACGGGAATTCGAAAAAACAAAAAGTGCAATCGTGTTCAAATCAAGACGAAGTGAGGAGAAGGAAAACTGAAAAGTCGATTTCTTCAACAATAGCGACACAACAAACCGCAATCCCAGAAACGGATATCGACGAACGGCATATGAAAAAACTTCAAAAAAGATATTTTCCGGCCAGCCCACCTCCCCCCTCATCTCTCTCTCTCTCTCTCTCTCTCTCTCTCTCTCTCTCTCTCTCTCTCTCTCTCTCTCTCTCTACCTCTTCCGCCAGCACGAGCAGCAAATATGCATGCATGACAGAAAATTGACGGTGTTCCACTCAGAGGCGGAGCCCCCAGCTCAGCTGAGAGTGTCCCAGTCCCGTCCAATGGCACCAGGGCCCGCACCTTTCCGCCTGAGCAGCAGCCCCTACTACCTCTTTTTGTTTTCTTTTTTTTTTGGCACTACGTAAGGTTGCTCAGTTGGGCACACAGAAAATACTTAGAAAAAAAATCAGAGAGAAGAGACAACGGGAGAAAAGACTGACAGTCAGATGAATGAGAATTTGTCAATCTGCAGCCCGATTTGCAGTCCGGAAAGATTGGCTTTCAACCCGGTTTCCGCCCAGATTGGAGCCATGAGGGGGGGGACCTTAGCCAGCAAGCAGCAGCAGAGACCTACCGGTAGTGGGATATAACGACCCCCCTCCCAGCAACACAAACAGCACCCTTGGGAGCAACAACTCCACCCTCAACAACACAAACAGACTCGTTGGGAGTAACGGCTCGCCCTCCGAAATACAAACGCCTCACTGCACCCTCCCACCTCGTCAATAGACGATCGGGCCAAATCTCAACGAGTAAAAGCTCGGTACCCTTCCATTTCCATTTTAACTTCGGTCCGATCTTCGCCGTACAATGATTATTCAACACGTAATCAACTTGCAAAAAGCTCACCCAGTCAGTTTCCTTGGTCCTCTGCCTTGTGAACCCAGGTGCTTGCCTTCACACACACACACACACACACAGCCTTCACACACACACACACACACACACACACACACACTTCCTTCACACACACACACACACACACACACACACACACACACACAGCCTTCACACACACACACACACACACACGTTGCCTCTCTAGATCAGACAAGCAACCAGAAACCAGAATGGACAAACCCCACCGCAAACCGAGAGCTAATGGACTAAGGGACAAACAAAGGCCACCACAGACGCAAAGCTCAGTCCCATTAAAATTCAACCCTAACAAGGGCCGCTAGTCAATGTAATGCCTACGGAGAATGCAAGCATGATTAACAAGCAAGCTCCCACCAGGAGTCAGCACTCAACAAACAATCACCTCAGCACGGACTCGAACTCAAAGGAAGAGCCTTTCACTCGGAGTCGACCGTGCTCCACTCGCCAACGGCACCCGCGACCAACACAGCACACATTTGGCAAGCATGAACACAATCACGTCGGGCCCGTAAGGAACCACAGGGTCATATGACAACGAGCGTAGACCACACCACACAGAACATGTATAGAGGCAAAGGCTCTCTAATCCATGCTTCGCTGTCAAGGGGCTCAAAACCAGGCCAGCGCACGAGGAGAGCGCCACCCCATTTCCTCATACAAAGGATACTTTCTCGGGCCTTCATGAGACCACTTATTCTCGCTCCCGTCTCTCAAACTCACCTGCAAATGCTCTCTCTCTCTCTCTCTCTCTCTCTCTCTCTCTCTCTTTCTCTCTCTCTCTCTCTCTCTCTCTCTCTCTCTCTCTCTCTCTCTCTCTCTC